TGCACTGCAATTTTGTCAGCTGCCGCTACCGAACACCGGTTGTTATTAGTGGCAAACTGGCATACATTTTCGCCTGTGACTCATAGTTTTTTTGCATTTTTATGTCATTAAATCCCTCAATTATATCTTGTACTTAAAGATCATGTTTTCTTTGTTGGAAGTTCGCAATCCATCTCAAAGTAACAACATTGAGAACATAGCATTCTGGCGTTCGTGTCGGCACCTCACGGTGTTAAGGAACGGTGGTTTAGGTTTGTGTGGCGAACGACAATCACCCAACGACCGACGCTCACAACTTGGATCCCACCATTAACAAAAAGCAATATTATAGTTATATAACTTTTCAGATGTTTTTAATTCAGTTTTTTTTTCAATATTCTTCTAAAATTCAACCACTATATTTACCTAAAAATCAAATAATACCGGTTTTATGCATTTTCGTATTAAACCTGTAGTCAATTCATGTTCCAGGGCCACTTGGTTTAGCCGTGCATTATCAGCCAATATACCATGGATTGCATATGCAAATTTTGTGTTTGGACCAATCAAATCAATGGATTAACACCATCAATATACTGGTATAATATAATAATAGATACATTGATACTATGATTTATAATGAACTGAGTTCTTGTAGCACATGTCTTCGTTCGATAAATTAATGAAATTCTTTAATATGCGTATGCCCTGGTTGTTTTAGTATGCATAATAAAAATGACTGCACTTGTGTATTAGTGGTTTTGATTTTTCATCTCACAAATACTGTTTATTTTGTATATTTTTAATTTATGATAATTCATGTGTATAGTATCTATTATTGAACCACAAAATAACAGAAAAATGTTTTAATGAATTGCCAGCTATGCAAGTATAGTCATACTATCAAAATAAGTTGTGTACTTAAATATTTCCAGTGAGCAGCTTAAATTGAATTCTGTTGAAAAGTCGGTGTCGGTCTTTATAGTTTCGTTATATATATTGTGTATCTATTTTATTAGGGAAGTATATGAACAACTTGTTATGAAAGGTGTTATTATACCGGAGGAAGAAGTTCCACCTCCCACAGTGCCGATGGATTATGCATGGGCAAGGGTATGTAATATGCAGTAAAGTTTATCACCTAATAAACGGGCATATTTTGTCTAGATTTTTAGAACATTTTGATCTAAACATGCAAATAATGGGGAATTATCTCCTTTGAATCCAAAATCAACAAATAAATCAACAAATAAATCAACAAATAAATCAACAAATAACACATAAAAATTGTGCAAAATGCTGTTAAAACTTTAGAGGGAAAAATTAGTAAAGTAGCCTTGACTTTGACTGGAGCCTCACTATAGATCTCCAATGTTTCATAAAGCACAGTAATTATCCTCTCATGTGCCAAAGTCATCTTTTCTCACTACTTTCAAAATAATATGTTGCATGATTCACAGAAAGTTTCCAAAATATTCAACTCTTGTACCTCCCAGGTTATGTCCATTCGCTCGAAAATGATCAAAAAACAAAAAAAATGTTGGTGGGAAAAATGTTGGCTCTAAAAGGTTTATTCGGTCACTCTATCTTTTCAGATACATAAGAATTGCTGCAGTTTTTCTGTCAGCATAATTGTTGTTGCCTTAAAATAATATTTCACATATAAAAATAAAATGTACCATAAATGCAATTGAGTAGAATCATATAAACAAGGCAGAGTTTGATACATACAAAAACCAAGTTGCTCTCTGATTGGTCAGACTATTAGTTATTAGGGTTTTCTAGCCAATCAGGCACATTCTTGTATTCTTCTTGCATTGTCTAATAATAAACCTATTATATTTCAACAGTGTCTCTTTTGAGACACAATAAACAAATTTTAGTTCCACCAGATATTAATTAAGAATAGCGTGTGATATTTAAAATTTACAGATGTGAAATTATAATTTTTTTGTCGTGGAAGTACCTGATGTGAAAATGACTGTCATGATCTGGCATAGGTTCAGTGAAACTCGACCTGATGCACAGATTTAGTGTAGACCATGTTATGTTCCTATATATATTGGACTTGTGTCTATTGTTATATGTATCCACAGCATAAATCTACTTTTGTAAGTTCACAATAAAGGTACATTCATGAATTTATGCCTTGTATTTTTTATCGGGTTCTACTCATTAACATATTATTCCATTTATCAGGAACTTGGTTTGATTCGCAAGCCTGCTTCTTTCATGACTAGTATCTGTGATGAGAGAGGTCAAGAACTGGTTTATGCTGGTATGCCTATCACTGAAGTGTTCAAAGAAGAAATGGGACTTGGAGGTGTTCTTAGTTTACTGTGGTTTCAGAGAAGGTGAGTTGAGGTGTACTTAGCTTACTGTGTTTTTAGAGAAGGTGAATTGAGGTGTACTTAGTTTACTGTGGTTTCAGAGAAGGTGAGTTGAGGTGTACTTAGCTTACTGTGGTTTCAGAGAAGGTGAGTTGAGGTGTACTTAGTCTACTGTGGTTTCAGAGAAGGTGAGTTGAGGTGTACTTAGCTTACTGTGGTTTAAGAGAAGGTGAATTGAGGTGTACTTAGCTTACTGTGGTTTCAGAGAAGGTGAGTTGAGGTGTACTTAGCTTACTGTGGTTTCAGAGAAGGTGAGTTGAGGTGTACTTAGCTTACTGTGGTTTCAGAGCAGGTGAGTTGAGGTGTACTTAGCTTACTGTGGTTTCAGAGAAGGTGAATTGAGGTGTACTTAGCTTACTGTGGTTTCAGAGAAGGTGAGTTGAGGTGTACATAGCTTACTGTTGTTTCAGAGAAGGTGAGTTGAAATGTACTTCGCTTACTGTGGTTTAAAAGAAGGTGAGTTGAGGTGTACTTAGCTTACTGTGGTTTCAGGGAAGGTGAGTTGAGGTGTACTTAGCTTACTGTTGTTTCAGAGAAGGTGAGTTGAAGTGTACTTAGCTTACTGTTTGAGAGAAGGTGAGTTGAGAAGTACTTAGCTTACTGTGGTTTCAGAGAAGGTGAGTTGAGGTGTACTTAGCTTACTGTTGTTTCAGAAAAGGTGAGTTGAGGTGTACTTAGCTTACTGTTGTTTCAGAGAAGGCAAGTTGAGGTGTACTTAGCTTACTGTGTTTTTAGAGAAGGTGAGTTGAGGTGTACTTAGCTTACTGTGGTTTCAGAGAAGGTGAATTGAGGTGTACTTAGCTTACTGTGGTTTCAGAGAAGGTGAGTTGAGGTGTACTTAGCTTACTGTGGTTTCAGAGAAGGTGAGTTGAGGTGTACATAGCTTACTGTTTCAGAGAAGGTGAGTTGAGGTGTACTTCGCTTACTGTGGTTTAAAAGAATGTGAGTTGAGGTGTACTTAGCTTACTGTGGTTTCAGGGAAGGTGAGTTGAGGTGTACTTAGCTTACTGTTGTTTCAGAGAAGGTGAGTTGAAGTGTACTTAGCTTACTGTTGTTTCAGAGAAGGTGAGTTGAGGTGTACTTCGCTTACTGTGGTTTAAAAGAAGGTGAGTTGAGGTGTACTTAGCTTACTGTGGTTTCAGGGAAGGTGAGTTGAGGTGTACTTAGCTTACTGTTGTTTCAGAGAAGGTGAGTTGAAGTGTACTTAGCTTACTGTTGTTTCAGAGAAGGTGAGTTGAGGAGTACTTAGCTTACTGTGGTTTCAGAGAAGGTGAGTTGAGGTGTACTTAGCTTACTGTTGTTTCAGAAAAGGTGAGTTGAGGTGTACTTAGCTTACTGTTGTTTCAGAGAAGGCGAGTTGAGGTGTACTTAGCTTACTGTGTTTTTACAGAAGGTGAGTTGAGGTGTACTTAGCTTACTGTGGTTTCAGAGAAGGTGAGTTGAGGTGTACTTAGCTTACTGTTGTTTCAGAGAAGGTGAATTGAGGTGTACTTAGCTTACTGTTGTTTCAGAGAAGGCGAGTTGAGGTGTACTTAGCTTACTGTTGTTTCAGAGAAGGCGAGTTGAGGTGTACTTAGCTTACTGTGTTTTTACAGAAGGTGAGTTGAGGTGTACTTAGCTTACTGTGGTTTCAGAGAAGGTGAGTTGAGGTGTACTTAGCTTACTGTGTTTTTAGAGAAGGTGAGTTGAGGTGTACTTAGCTTACTGTGGTTTCAGAGAAGGCGAGTTGAGGTGTACTTAGCTTACTGTGTTTTTAGAGAAGGTGAGTTGAGGTGTACTTAGCTTACTGTGGTTTCAGAGAAGGTGAGTTGAGGTGTACTTAGCTTACTGTGGTTTCAGAGAAGGTGAGTTGAGGTGTACTTAGCTTACTGTTGTTTCAGAGAAGGTGAATTGAGGTGTACTTAGCTTACTGTTGTTTCAGAGAAGGTGAATTGAGGTGTACTTATTTCCTATTTTACTTCATTTCAGGCACAATCCTGCAAATTACAAATATAAAGCTGACTGTTAGATAAAACAGTACAAATTGTTATTCTAACTTGGCAGGAAATGATAGACCTATTTTTTGAAATTTAGTTAAAACATTTTTAGTTAGAACAATTTTTTGATATCAGTATTGACATTGTGGCGAGTGACTTTTAAATTGTACGGTATATAATTAATTTATTTTTTAGATTACCTGCATATGCAACAAAATTCATAGAAATGTGTCTGATGATAACAGCTGATCACGGGCCAGCAGTGTCTGGTGCACATAATACCATAGTTACATCTAGAGCTGGCAAGGATCTCATCTCTTCTCTCTGCTCTGGGTTATTAACCATTGTAAGTAAAAACCTTGCATATTTCATTTATGTTTATTTCTGCTGTTTTGTATATTAGTACTGTGGCTGTGAATAAAATTATAAGCTGCAATGAAGCACCTCTTCACATCATCCCTTTCTCCTTCCTCAATAACAGTAATCCACAACAATGCTTTCAGAATTTTCTATTATTGTTCATGCAATTGTTAACTTTATGAACATGGCAATTTTTTCTACAAAATTTGTGTGCAACTTTTTATTTATCATTTGATAAATGATGGACCAAATCAACATAATTTACCATTACCCAATTGTTGATCAAAATTAAAAAAAGAAAGTTGCTTAAAAGATAAATTATAATTTTATTATTATTTATTCAAATATAATCTATTGGTTTTGCAGTTGGATTGTCATAGTTATATTCGTTGTACTTTAGTATGTTTTCAGGAAATGCACATTCAACACCATATTTTTAGGGATTTTGGAGTTGACAGAAAAACAGTGTGCTTGTATTATGACGTTATATTAAGGCATTGTCACTTTCAGGCAAAACAAGCAGTATTTTCTTTTGTAGATAACTGAACGTGTTGATTGCAGAAGTTTGAATGACACATGATCAGCACTAAATCAAATGGATAATTGTTACTTGTATTTAAAATTAATCCAAATGTTACAAATATATATAAAGATGTTGAGCATTGTGTGAAATATCAGAGATGGCGGCACGAAATTTTGCATAGAGGGGCGAGATCTGCTCACCTCCCTCCCGGGACATGCTCCCCCTTAAAAATTTTGAAATCTAGACCCTCTGAAACGCTTTTACTTGAATTTTGATGGGCAAATTTTGCTGACACCCTAGAGGGGACAACTGGCCCCTCTGCCCCCAGGTGCCTCGGTCACTGAATAATAGTCTTTTGCACAAATGAAAACAAAACATCAAAATTAACTGCATTATTTTACTGTGGTGTTTATATTTGGTGAATAATAATCCTTAGAAATCCTCTCACATTGCTGCCAGTGAGGGTGCTACACACTAACTACTTCTTTTTATGCACTGAAACAACACATTGCTTTATCACATTTATATTGGCCTTGTTTCCTTGCAATAGTAATTAAACGCTTCAATAAAATGAAGTGTGATTTTTCTTTATACTGTTTTTTGATAGAATGTCATATTGAAATGTACAACTGTTTATAATCATTATAACATATGTACTGTTTTCTATTCTTGTTACCAGGGTGACCGTTTTGGTGGTGCATTAGATGCAGCAGCTCGGCAGTTCAGTGAAGCGCATGATGCTGGTTTAATCCCGATGGAATTTGTAAATAAAATGCGAAAAGAACATCGTCTGATTATGGGAATTGGGCATAGAGTTAAATCAGTAAGTGTTAACTACATGAAAGTTGGTGCTTCTTTGAATGTCAATGTTGTTGTCTCATGCACCTAATGTCTTCTCTAGATATTTAATCATTTGAATATCTAGGTCAAGGGTTTTTGAATGCTAAAGGTCAAGGGTTGTGTGAGTGCTAAAGGTCAAGGGTTACTTTGAATGCTGAAGGTCAAGGGTTACTTTGAATGCTGAAGGTAAATTTTTGTCAATTTACCATATTTATATAAAATATTACCGGTAATCAAATTTCAAAGTCTGATTAGTCGGTCCACAAGTAATCACATTTGTTTGTTTCAAATATGTTACTTAATTTTTGATTTGGACTCTAGTCAACTACCAGTACCTTTTTTTTTAATCTAACCTGAAATATAGTTTTCGGTGACAAAATGCTGAATTGGTTTGTTTTTAGTACAATTTTTTTGCAAGAGTGTTAATCAAAATTTTCTAATAATTCTTGATTACCATAACCCATCTTATAACTACTTCAAAATTGTGAACCAGACACCAGAGGTAACTTTCAAATTTAACAATCATGCGAAAAAGTTAACAGCCTTGCATTAAAGATTACACATTCCCATTCCAAATAAGAACATTTTAATAACCTTATTAGCTGTAGGAAATAACGACCTGATTGCTTTGATACTTGGGTAGACCTCTCTTAGATTTGTTCATTTTGTAATGATATCTTCTGTTCTTTAATTGAAATGTGCATTGCTAACAGCGGAGCTATCTCAGCTGACTGACTGCTTGCTTAATAACATCCAGCAAGGCCCATACAAAATAGGTGGTTTGGACATCATGCACATCCGCTTTTTTGTCACAATTGAAAGAATGAAAGAAAAATTAAATTTTCATGAAAAATCCAAATTTTAATAAACAATTAACACGCACGTGCATAAATTCTGGAAATTGTTTTTGGTCTGTATCCAAATGTGTGATAATGCAATGATCTGTCAAAAGCAAAGTACTGTTAACATGTTTAAATAGTTACATGTCATTTTAGCAAACTTGACTCAATGCATAAAGTAACTGAATCTTTATTTAGCTAAAGTGTCAACAATCTCATTGTGAGAAAATACTGTATTTTAAATTAGTGACATCTTGAATTAGAGAAAGTACAGATTAGCTAAAATAACATGCTAGCTAAAAAGACATGTTTTATAGTATTTAAAATGTAGTTTAGGTTGACCTCCTAATCTTTTGACTGTTTTTACACAAATTTGCTATGGCTACACTTGTATTTTTGTAAATATGAAATACAAACTGGAATTAAAAACGAGTAACTGACAGGTATCTCATAAATTTAGTCTGAACATTAATGTGGATACTGAAACAAATTGACCTCTGTGTTTGAGCCAGCCACTACATGTGGTATTATCAACAAATATATCATTTAGTTTCTTTTTACACACTGACTGTGTGTCGCAAAACGAACAATGTATGTTTGTGTTACCAGTGTTTCGTCTACTTAACAAAAAAAGCTGTGAATACAAACACCATAAAAGCTGTCTTAAATCGGGTGTATTTGGATGCATGTTGAATGGAAATAATGTTTCTCAGACTGTTCAATTTCACTTGTGTACCTCTCTTAGAAAATTTTACAAAAGTCTGATCCTGTCGCTTTCATTTTGTTGAAGTAACACATAACATGTGTATTTGAGTTCTTTTATTGCATTTTCATCCATTGCTAAGACCTCATGTTTTTATTTAAGCGTGCATGAAAAAGTTTTACATCTATAATAAATGATTAGCTCCGCTGTCGACTTTGTCGAGCGGAGCTTATCATATTAGTGATTGTTCGTCATCTCCCATCTTCCTGCGTCCGTCGTTCGTGTCAATGTTTTACTTTTTCGACTTCTTCTTGAAAACTACAACCCTAAATGCTTTGATACTTGGTGTATATGTACCTTGGGCAGACCTCTCTCAGATTTGTTCATTTCATGAAATTATCTTCAATTCTCTAATTTTGGTGAATATTTTTGTCATTTTTGGTAAAAAGTGATATTTTCAACTTCTTGTTTAAAACCGCAAGTCCAATTGCTTTGATATTACATATTGTGATGATATCTTTAATTCTCCAATTTTGATGAATATTTTTGTCACTTTGGTGAAAAGTGATATTTTTGAAATCTTGTCCCATTGCCTTGATACTATACATATTGTTCATTTTCTAAAGATGTATTCTGTTCTTTAATTGAAATGTGCATTGCTAACAGCGGAGCTATCTCAGCCGACAGGCTGCTTGTTCAGAATTAAAATAAAGCGACACATTTGTTGTTTAGCGATTGTAAAAATGTAATTTTCATATGTTGTATATGCAATGTTAGACGTACAACGAACTCAACTCAATGTAATTTTATTTTAGTTTTCTACCATTAAAACTAATCACCCCATCAACTTTATGTCGTTCTTGAAGACAACATTTCCGAAAGTCACTTAAAGTTTGTCACTGGTAGCATCGTGGTTGTCGCATCAGACTCATGATCGGTATACCCGAGTTCAAATCTTACCTTAGGCTGAACATCAAAGGGTCGACCTCTACCCTGGGCGAGTGTGCCACAGACTCAATGGGAAGGCCAATTCCACTAGCTGAGATTCATTCACTAACGAATGCGACTTTGGGGGAACCTTGGTTAAGGTCTGCAGGTGCTTGTGTTCGTCCAGGCCTGGTTGACACCAAGATAGCGCATTAAAATTGACATTTGACAGAGAGATGGCCACACAGCCTTGTTATGTAGTCCAAAACATGAATATGACTTCTGTGGCAAAATGTACTATGTGTCAGCACTAGCACTTGCAATTTGCACTTACATAAAAAAAAAAACTGTCGCCTGGCACAAACACATTTGAAAAAAAAAGTTTGCTGCAAAATTTCACTGACTTATGAAACTGAAGTAGTTTACAGTAGTTTATATCTGTGACTGCCCAAAATGCAAGTTTGCCCCAAACTTTGATGATATTTATCTCTTGAAAACAATCATTTAACAAAATGCCAGGAACATTATTACTGTTATTTATACTGCATACCATGCCTTGTTTCATCAGATCAACAATCCAGATATGCGTGTAGTGATATTGAAAGAGTATGCTAAGGCCAATTTCCCAGCTACGCCATTATTAGACTACGCGATGGATGTTGAGAAAGTCACAACCGCTAAGGTAAGAACGTCTAGATGACAATTTCAGTCAAACTAAATAACACATATCTGTACATCAAATCAATTTTCTATAATTTTGCTAACTTTACAGAAACCCAACCTGATTCTGAATGTTGATGGATTTATTGGTGTTGCATTTGTTGATCTACTTCGGAATTGCGGATGTTTTACAAAGTAAGTTAACAACAGTCTGGAGGGAATGAACAATATTTTAAAACAAAGTAGGTGATCAGTTGTTTTGATCTTGCAATATCCAGAGAAATCTCAATGACAAATGTTTTTCATTGTAATAAATGTTGTTTTTTTTTAATTTGTCCACTGCAGTGAAGAAGCCGCTGAACTGATTGAAATTGGGGCCCTGAATGGCCTTTTTGTTCTTGGTCGCAGCATGGGATTCATTGGTGAGTGACCTAAGGTCTCAAGACTCCCTACCTAGTATTATGAAATTTATTCATATATTCGAAGTATGCCATTGACTAAAAAAAGTGAACTTGTATGATTGTATCAATTATTATAATAATATTAATTAATGTTCCAGGACATTTCTTGGACCAGAAGCGTCTTAAACAAGGTCTTTATCGACACCCATGGGACGATATATCATACATTCTTCCAGAGTCGATGTAATCTAGAGGAAATGTTCCTGGAGTTCTACTTCATATATTACCATGAAGTTTTTATGTTTCCTGCATTGGTTACTATGGTTACTACTGATTGGACAAAAAAAGAGTCTCTTTCTGGCCCTTGGCTATATTTGTACTAGAACCGTATTTTTTCACTGGCTTTATGTAATATACTTTTAGAAAATACTTTAAGTCTTGATGGGCAAATGATTTGTAAATATTTAAATATATGTAATTTTTCATTTGGTCATTTGGTGCAAACAAATGCATGATAACAAGAGAGTGGTGTATTTCAGCAGTACAATGCATGTTTTAATCTCATTTTCATACACCTTTGCCGGGAATAATTCGATGCTACACAAAGATAGTCGCAGGAAACATTCTGTTAACAAGTTTTGCTAACTTCAAAGACACATAGTTATTTCCTGTAGTCATGGCAACTCAAGTTATGTGTTGTCTATGTTGATGTCGTTGCAATCAGGAAGTCCTACAAAATATTTTTATTTTATTTTTTTGGTCATATTTCTGTGGCACCTCGTTGGAATGTTGTATTTATATTTGTTTCCAATGCCAAGTGGTATTTTGATAACAGTAGATTGAAGATTTAATGATCAACTTCAATTGTTGCAGTAAAATAAAACTGAGTTGCATCTGTATGATTCTCTTGTTACAATGTATTTTAATTCCAGTGTTGTATCATTTCTAGTCTTGGTAATGAATGTTGAATGAGGATATCATGCTTTGCTTTGATTTGTGTCCCAAAAATGTAGATCAAGTTTAAATGCCTGTACGTGGTGTTGCTATTGTTCTGTTTGTTAGGTCTTTCAAAGGCATTCAATAAATGTATTCATTTCTTGATAAAACCAGCACCAGAGAATAGAATTCTTAGACGCACGGCAGGTTGTGGATAAAAAAAAATTTGAAATAGAATCTCAGTGTTGATGTCATACTAAATTACGTAACTGTATAAATGACTAAACTGTGTAAAAAAAATAAAAATCTGGTAAATAAGAAACAAATTTGAGTGATGGCGTAATACTTCCAGTACTGCTTAAGGTAACTGCATTCCTAGACAGGTCATGGGTAAAGAGATTGAAAGAAATCTCAGTAGTATTAACTGAATGCGTCTTGATTTTTCGGCTGCGACCAAATTCTTACAGACATATTAACGACAATGAATGTCGTTAACAACCATATGATAATGCAGAAGTAATTAGCAACATTCAAAACCGTTGTGAATAAACATTCTATCACACAGTGGAAAGTGAACTTGACTCTGGTGACATGTGACCTTCCCTGTGTCATTGATTTAGAAAATGATAAACAAGGAAAAATGTGTGTTATTGTCCTCATTCCATTATAAACTATTAACTTGAAATAATTTTTTCCCACAACTTTGTACATCTGATGCACAACCAATGTTTTAATCAGCTGTCTATTTTTGGCCAGGTCAATTTCTCATGAATCTGCATTGCACATGACACTCTGGTACTGAAATTGACACATGGCGAGATATGACTGTCGTGAGTATTCAACGATAAATAAAAATTTCTTACCATGTCTTTGTGTTGGTCAATAAATTTTAATGAGGGAAAACAAAATCTTTGACAATGTGAATAGTTGCCCCAGAAAAAAAATCAAAGAAAGCTTAGAAAGAACTCCTGTGTGCTTGAGGGTATTGGAGACACATTCAAATTAATTCAAAATTAAAGATTTGCATTTCAAACTAGAAGCTTAGCATCTAATATTTGTCTGCTATTTGAGATACTTAGAACATCTACATACCAGGATTCCTTGAAATGGGATAATTAGTACTTGTGATATCAGTCTAAAAGCTGAAAATTAACTAATTATGCAAATTAGTTGATTAATATGCACACATTTTTACCCAAAATTAATCGGGTCTCTGCATTGTTCTAAAAAAATCTATGTACCAAGTTTGATTGAAAATAATGAAGTGATAGTACTTGAAATATCAAAGGCTGAAAATTGATTAATTATGCAAATTAGGTAATTAATATTTCACATATCTGTCTGTGCATTGTCCTATGTATCTATGTAAGTTTCATTGAAATGTGATGATTAGTACCTCAGTGTATGTACCTTAGTATATCAGTGGAAAAGCCGAAAATTGATTAATCATTATGCAACTTAGGTTAATTATGTGAATGGATTTTTGCCCCAAACTAATCAAATCTGTACATTAGTCCAGAGCATCTATGTACCAAGTTTCATCAAAATCCAATGAATGGCTCTTTAGATATCAGTGGCACAGTCGTGGAACAGCTAAAAATTAGCTAATTATCAAGCTAATTAGGTAATTAATATACATGGATTTCAACCAAAACCTAATCAAATCAAATTTCATTAAAAACTAACATACGGTTCTTGAGATATCGTGGAATGGACGGACACACACATACAGACAGACAGGGTAACTGCAAAGACTCCCATTGTGTGCTTCGTACACTGGAGTCAAAAACACACTTGTGCTGAAATAGTATCCACAATGTAATCCAAAGTTGTTTGTAATAGATTTGTGGTAGACAGGTGACCATGTTATTGTTATTCAATTCGAATACGTCATTATTTTTTCATATGGTTGTCTGGCATACCTTTATTAATAATTTACAAACAAATGGCTCAAAGTTGTCCTAATTGTAGATTAATAATATACATTTATTTTATTTTGAGAGTATACAGTGTAAAACTAATATTCCATTTTAATTTATAAACACATTTAAAAAATGCAGGAACAAATGTTGACAGAATCAACAAAAATCGAATGTAAAGGCGAGACACTGCATGGTCACACTTTTTACCCCCCCCCCTCCAGATTTAAAATGTTTGCTCTCCAGATATCGATCATCAGCTTTAAATAGTGATTGACTCAAGAGCTCAACATTAGCCAATTTGAAATCTGACAGGCAGTTTGATTTATACAAAAATATATTTATAAAACGTTTCCAGGTTTCTTCCGTTTAATGCAGGTGACCCTGCATGAGATTGTGACCTCTGCATGACATTGTGTATCGTGTGAACTAGATAATTCTATGTGACTATGACGTCATTATCGTATTTACCTTTTCGCTTTTCGCAGCCCGTGTGATACTTTTTCCGCCTCCTTCGCTATGTCATATGACCTTACGTACGTACTTTGAGTTTTATAGAGAACTGTTTTGGCATATATCACGAGTTTGTGGTCTAATTAAAATCTGGCACTACGTTGTTTCCCCACTTTGTACGATCTGCAGAAAACCCTCTCACTAACCCTGTGAATATGATTGTGTTTAGTTAATTATTATATCAAACATAATATTGAAGTCGAATTTAGAAGTCCATCCTAAAATACAATAAAGTTGCATTGAACATCACAATGACCTCCTGTGCATATAACTTCAGTATTTCAGGATGTGTTGCCAAGACAACCGAATTTATCATTTTCAAAGAAGATCACAGTAATTAATGGAAGGTATTCTTCTGGTATTTCATGTATATTTAACATAAACTACTAGTATTTTATTACAAGTTGGATTACGGTCTGTCTGTCTCTGTCTGCCTGTCTGTCTGTTTGCCTGCCTGTCTGTCTGTCTGTCTCTCTCTCTCTCTCTCGCTCGCTCTCGCTCTCGCTCTCTCTCTCGCTCTCTCTGATATATTATATGTGTTGTCACAGTCATTCTATAGAGGGACTGTGGTGTTATTTTCGTATGGATTCATTGTATACTTGCACAGTAAACATTATAACTTTTCAAAATTTCAAGATGGTATAAAATCTGCCCTCACAATGTTTACCGAATCTTCACAAAATGACTGAGTTTTCGAGATATGAAAATTTCAAAACAGGGACAATGAAGACAATTCATTAGAATTGGTAGCCTGACTGAAACACCTATATAACCCTCTCCATATATGCCACACCCAAACTCAAGTACCTGTTTAAACCATAGACAATGTAGTAGGTTTCCTGCTATACTGTCAATGTTTAAATATTTCTAGACAAAACAAAGAAAGTTGAAGGGTGGTGGTCGTCGCGCCTCGTACGTGTGACATATGGAATGTAAATCACAAGCACGAGTTTTGACCTCAGCGTGACTTGCACTAATAACCACCGGTGACTTTCTTGATACCTTCTAATCACCTAGAAAATCTCTGTGGAGCAGGTCAAACAAGGAAATACAAGGGAAAACTAATTTCAGTAAATTACACATATTACATGTTAAGGTAAAACATCGTCACGGTACACACAAGTGTGGGTGACTATTATTGTAGCAATACCTGGAGTGCTGTGGAAAACCTAGCATAAAAACAAATAAATAATATTTAAAAAAACAAGTCATAGAAACAAACGGCACAACTACTATCCTTTCTATTTACAGGGTTTATTTTATACACATGTTTAAAATATTTAGAATTGCGATTCATTCAAACCAAACAGATGAGATTTGATTGGGTAAAAGAATGCCATATAAGAATGCCGTTCTCACGATGACGTCAAAAACAAAATAGCTCTGATTGGCCAAATGTTTGTCGACCGTCGTTTACAGTATTTTTAAATATAAAAATAAAAAATAAATGTTGATCCACGGTTTATGGACCCGGCAGTATACACTCGTGATTAAAAAAACAAACAAATAGTTGTGTTCACTGAGACAGTACTTTACCCTGTACCCGCGTAGAATTGATTAATACACACGCAAAGATCAATGGCCCTGATTTTCATTCTGCCACTGAATAGAATGTTGACAAACTTCAACCATGGACAGGTCCATGCTTCAACATAGTTAAAGGGCCGGGGTCGTCGCAACGCGTGTTGAATTTCATGTAAACAATGTATTTAACACGGGTTGTATACGTCGCTATGAGTCCCATATCAAACAGAACTCGGCGCGACGACAACCATCACCCTTCAAGTCAAGTCATTCTCTGACAACTGACATTTTTACAGTCATTTAAAAATGTAACTCCTCAATATATACTTCGAGTCAATATGTATAAGAAAGCAAATTAGAATCACAAAAAACTACATGTACTTGTTAAAAAATGCAGTACCCACCAAAACGTTACAGGAAATTAAATAAAAAATAGAAAATGCTCCTCATCAGAAACAGAAACACAACAGAATTTGTATTTACTTCAAACCAAGAACCCTCCACTAAACAGAAATGAATGAACGTGTTAAAATTTATCATACATTTTGTACTATGCTCAATTTTGGATTAATCACGAATTTCGCATTACTGTATATTTTTATTAAAGCG